CAAAATTTGCTTACATATTTTATAAAATATTCTTAAATTTTTTTAAAAAATATAGTATTCATAATTTACTGCTATAAATAAAAGATTCTAAATTAAATAGAGAATTGCTATTTGTATCACAATTTTTGCTATTTATATTATTAATTTGACTAGAACTAATCCTAACTTTGATCAAACTAATAGTACAAATAGCAAAAACTATAGTGCAAATAGTAGTACCTATTAAATATTACAAAAATTTGATAAATATTAGTCACAATTCTAAAAGTTTTATAAAAGATATATTTTGTAATCTATATAAAATTTTAATTTGTTATATACTATAGATCATATGAAAAATAATCTATAGACACCTTATTTTAAATTTAAATATTATTCATTTTAAAAATTTTTATGCAATCAAGAGTATTTTTTTCATCTACTTTTTATTTTCTGCTATTTATGTGATATCATCAGCAAAAGCTACTACTGCCTGTCTTTAGTATTTTTGATTACAAAGCTTAAGTTAAGATTAATAGTATTTTATAGCTTACTGTATATTTTAGCTTTATATAAGATGAATTAGTAGAAATGTAACAAATTTATTAGATAAATTTGTCTTATTTCTACTGACTTACCCCTATATATTCTTGAATTCCTTTTAGAAGTAGATCATAAAAAATTTTTTAGACTAATAATAAAATTACTTTATCTTGTTTTATCTCTTAAAAAAGTTTGTTAGATTTAAATTTGTAATAATTTTGAATTATTAGTTTTTAAAGAAATTAAGTATAAGTTTGATTATTATTTTAGACAACTTGATTTTTTTCAAGAGATACTAATCAAAAGCTTTTTTTATATTTTGAAATACAATCTACAATTCTTTTTCATCATTTTTTGTATTTTTTATAATTGTATTTAGAATATGAACTAGTTCTTTTGTTGAGTTGTCTAAAAGACTAGCAAAATTCAAACTCTTGAAATATCTTTTTCTAAGATGATTTTAGCAAATCTTTTAATAACTATTTTGGTTATATATTTACAAAATATCTTTAGTAATGCAATTAGTTTAACATTATTTAAATTGTAATACCAATCTTCTTCTTTTAATATTAGATAGATTTGAGACATTTTTTACTTTTTTGAAATCATTTCTGTTTTTAAATATATATTCATAATAGCTCTGAATACCTTTTATACTTGCTCATTTGCTGCTTTAATTAATATATATATAATATCTGAGATACATTCTTTTTAAAGTCTGTCAATATCTCAGATCATTTTATTTCTATAACATTTTTATTAAGACTGTTATATTAGCCTTCTTATATTTTTTTCTTAGAACTGTTTACTCTAGCTCATTCCTTATTTATTAAGTCTTCTTGAAAATTTTTTACTTTGAATTGATTTTTGAAATATTTATTTGTGTTCTCTAATACTTTATCTGGTTTAATAATCAACCTTTTTATAAGACTATTTTCTTCAAGAAGTCTATCTATTTTAATTTTTCTAATTGGCTTATCGAATAGATTTATTAATATCTTTCTTTGTTATTTATCTATCATTTGACATCTTTATTCAATATTTTTGTTTATTTCTTTTCTTCTAATCTTTTTAAGTTCTTCTATTCTTCTTTTATTGAAAATTTTTCACAACCTTTCAGATCATCAATTATTTTTTGCATCCAACAATTTTAGATCTCCTTAATATACAGAAATTGATATATTTGATCTGCTTGTCAAACTCTTATATGTCTTTAATTATATACTGTAGTTTAATATTTTTTTACCCAAGCTTATCTATCTACTCAGATAGATTATGAATTGCAATAATTTGGATTTCTTTTTTTAGTTTATTTTAGTTGTCAATATATTCAAAATTTTCTTTTTAGACCATCTTTTAAGCTGCCATTACAGTATAACTTTTCAAAACTGATTTTGTCAAAACTGATAACCTGTTATATTTGATAAAAAATTGATATACCATGTCTGTCCTATAATTCAAACCCAATAACCTGCTATTTTTAATAACTGATACTCAAAAGATCAGATATCTATAAAATATCAGGTTTGTTAAATATTTTAAATCAATTTGATTGGCTCAATTAAATATTATATAACCAAGTAGATATATAGAGTCTTTGCATTAAAAATCAAATATATAATATATGATTTATTATGTTTTATAACTTGATTTTCAAAGCAAAAAAATCCTATATAATAAATATAATCTAACTAATTATATTTATTTATAATCATATGATCAATAAGTTATTAGTATCTTAACCTAATAACTTCTTAAAACTGATACAAAAGGTATCTATTATGCTTATCAGATTTGAGAAGGTGTATTATAATATACTTTTGTTAATCAAATCTCATGATTTATTTAACAACTCTTGAGTTTTTTTTTCTGAAAGATAATTATAATTTGAAAGATTTTATATTAAGTTTTCTTATTCTTAAAATTTTTTCTATCTCTGTTCTATAGTTATTCTAATTTTCTTTAGTTGCTTCATTGTATAGAAAGACAGTTCTATTAAAATTCTCTCTTTTTAGTTTTATATAGCTAACTGAAGATATTAGATGCTCTAATTCAATTTTTGCAAGTACTGCATCATAATTATTATCAGTAAAGATGTCTATTTCTTAGATATCTGCATTATAGAGTCCACTAATTAAATCATCTTTTATCTAAATTTGGTCAATTCTTGTGCTCTGTTCTCTGTTTATCTAGATAAACTTTCTGTTTCTATTTTTTAAATTAATATAACAGAATAACAAATATATTAAAATATGTATTTTGAATACAACAATCTAATTAAATAATACTTTAAGACTATTATTGAATACTGACTTCTTATATTGCTTTAATTAATGAAAATTTTTTTACTAGTTTTTTAACTTTCATATACTATATAGAATAAAAACTAGTTTATTTAATAGAGATAAATTTTAAAAGCTTTTCACAAACTTATAAATATACTGTAATGTCAAAATAGACAAATTTCTTTGTTTTTCTTGTTTATATATTTTATTATATTCTTTTATAACTTTATTTTTTTTCATTTGTTCTTAAATTTTTTTACTTTTTTTTCTTTGTTTTTAATATTTCTTTACTTTTTTTCTTGTTTATATTTTTATTATATTTCTTTATATCTTTGTTTTTTTTTGTTTTAGTATTTTTTTTTATTTGGCTTTTTAACAAAACAGATAGCTACTATAACTTATAATTAAAAGAATTAAATTTTTAGTAAATTAAGAATCTAATATAAAGTTAATAGATTGCATTTAAGTTTTAATACTAAATAAGTCTTTATTAATATAGAATTAAAAAGTATAACAAGATAGTGTAGTTAGTAAATTATTATTCTCAAATAGCAGGTCTAGAGTTTAAAACTCACTAGCAATAATTTTAAAAAATAATTTTGTTTTAGTAAATTTATTTAATAATTGGTTAGGTATATTACTTGTAGTCTTAATAATACTATTTTGAATAGAAGTCTTTAAATAAAATTATATGATATTATACAAACAAAACCAAAAACTAAAATAATTAAAACCTATTTAATATAAATTTTGAGCAAAAAGATATTGCAAAAGCTAGAATTCTAAAAATCAGATATAATAACCTTGAGATAAGAAAGATTCATTAACCTGGTTGCTAAAATTATACTGGAAAAAAAGTATATACTATAAAATTAAAAACTGAAGAAAAGAAACCAAAGGTATCTATATTAATTTAACTAGACTAACTAGTTTGAAAATTTGAAAGAGATCAATATAAAGATTAGAAAGAAGGTAGATATAGATATTAGAATTAGAATACCAACCAGACCATGAGTATACGGGAGTAGTTCTGTATAAATAAGGAAAAATGATTCAATCGGAATACCAAGGGAACACCTACTAGTCTCTTCTTGGGCTATCTGAATTGGGAGTTTGGGATACTGTTGGTGAAGAAAAGTCAGTGTTAGTCTGTAAAGTGTGTGCTGGGTCTGGGTGAACTTTGCAAGGGCAAGGAGTAGATAACGGTAATGGAGAGATACTGCAAGTACTTGGTCTCAGCCTAGGTATAAGTTACTGAAAATTTAGGTGATACATGTTTAGGACATAGACCGCTCTAGTAGGTTTACTATGATGATAAATTAGTGTTCGAAAAAGTTAGCATAGATCGGATTCAGATTTGTGCGAATCCAAATCATCAAATTAGGTTTGACCCCTAAAACGTCGAATTGGGCTCTGATTGAGCAGGATTGGGCTTAATTTTAGGGTCATGTCTTTATATAATCGCTCTATATGATAAATTCGAATTTGTCACATGATAAATTCAAATATATTACACTTTGTGCCACAATATAAGTGATAAATTCAAATTTGTTATGTAATAAATTCGAATTTGTCACTTATATTGTAACAAATATATGTGACAAACTATCAGATTAGTATGGATCACTCCCAGATTCAATCCGAATTACAGATTTGAATCAGATTCAGATCAATCTCAAATTAACTAAGATTTTTAATTCGTTTTCGAACACTAAGATAAATTAGTCCTAAGGGGCCTTAGCAATAGTTTCTCTTTAGGGAGAATATCCAACGGCGCTAAGTTGATCAGAGGGTTTAATTGGATAACTTAAGTAATAGTAGATTATAGATATAGCATCTAGTATAGTACTTAGTAATAGAGAACTACTTAATTAGATTCTTAAAAGACATAGGTATAGCTAGAATGTATCCTCGTTAATATAACAAAGTCAGGAGTGGTCCTGTGACTGCTTTGAAATTCGCAACCAAAGTTAATAAATGTGTCAAACCTCTAAGTAGTCACCTTAACATTAAAAAAAAAAAAAAGATATTAAAATTAGAATAAATCTTGTAAGAACAGAAAAATCAAGAATTACTGTACCATATATAGTTTAATGATTAGCTCTAATAACTAGTATTAGTTTTAACTATAGTAGATAGATTCTTTAAACCTAATTTAAAAATATATAAGATATAAAAAAATTAGAAAAGCAGCTACTATATCTATTTATAAAGACTATTACAAAGCAGATTTTTAGTATAGATTTTATTAACCATTATTTAGTTATTTTTAGTTATTATTATTTAAAATATTAATATTTTTATATAGTTAAAATATTAGATATATTTATTATATTATTATATATTAGTTTATATATATTTAAATAGAATATTATATAATAATAATATAGAAATATTTTAATTGCCTATTAGAAGTATAGCATAGTCATATGATCTTATATGATCTCAGATAATACAAGATTATACAAGATAATATTTTGAGTTACACAAAAGTGTTATATAAGAAAGTATACAAATTCATCTTTCTTTACACGAACTTCTAATTCCTTTATACAAATCTTAAATGTTTTAAACACAAAATATTATCATTTAATTCCTTCACACAAGCTATAAATAAATATAAACATGATGAGTAATATTTATATTTACCTACTTCACCTACTTCACCTAATACAATCACCTTTTTCAATTTCTTTCTTTGCTAAGTATTATTCATTTACTATATATTGTGTATCCTCTCTATGAGTAAAAAGATATATAAAGAGTATCTTTTCCTCTTTCTGCCAATTCATAAATTTCTATACTTTACTTAGACTCTGTTCTCTTTATACCCTTCTTGCAAATGTAATATTCCTTCTATAGAGTAATTCCTATAGGCAAGGTTTATCCTGTATTCTTGTATAAAATAAAGTTATTCTATATATTGTTACTATCTCAAACTGTTTGCCTTCTGCTGTGTAGTTAAATAAACAATTATACATCTACTCTATATATATTTGCAAAAGTTAATCACTACACTAAGTGATCTTGTTACTTGGTTGTATTTTACTAAAAAGGCTACAGAACTTATAGATAACTAACCAGATAACTAAGTTTAAATAAGTTAGTAAAAAATACTTGATATAAGTATATTTGGCTTAGAATGATTGATGGGTATGTACAATTAGAAAGGTTAAATAGGTAACCTTCAAGTAAATTGCAAGTATAGCACCTAGTATAGAACCTTCAGGTAGACTATTTAAATAGGCAACCTGAAGTTATATATGTGGCTAGATCATACCTTCATTGTAATATCAAATATAGACCTTTGTAGTTAATAATAAAACATTAATAAAGCTTGATCTCAAAAGACACCTTATAAAAAAAAAATTAAATATAACATTTCATAAAATTTAATCTAATTATTTATATGAAATTGTATGATCTCTACTAAAATAGAATTGCATATTAATTAATTTGGTTTAACTTCAAAATTAGCCAATCATGATTGAGAATTATTTGTTATTAAAATTTATTACAAAATAATTTTTACAAAACAATCTTTTAAACTTACTTTGAATTCATAATTATGTATATAGAATATTGCAATATCTACATGTTTAATTATTAGCAAGATTGCTTTCGAATTCACCCTTACCCATTATTCAACTGATCAAACAATGACAAACCGATTATTTACTATCTGAAAATACTCAAATGTTTACTTAATTTTAATAATCACAACATTTTCATCAAAAATTTTGCTAAAATGAAGCCCATATATCTAAATATCTTTTGTTTTTGATTTTATTAGGTCACTATTAGTATTAAGTCATTAACTGTTAATGCACTAACTAGCATTTATATTAAACACATTTTGCCAAATTTACCAACTTTATTTAATCAAAATATAAATATATAAGTATCGTTTTAATAGAATACATTATGATTTCTTAAACGTCTTGTAGAACGTCTTGTAGGCAAATTTGTCTGCCAATTGCTACAAGCAATATGTGATATGTGATGTATATGTTTATAATGTTCGTGAGGATAGTGAAAATTATAAAAATGTAGGATAATGAATGTTTTTTCTGTTTACTATTTCTAACCTTAAGTTATAATTCGCATAAAAGTAAAATATATAGTTGAGGATTAGAAAGATCAATTGCACATATAAAAGTAAATACGTAGATATTAAATATCCAAGGAAAAAGAGAAGCTTATTTCTTTAAAAGTTCTTTAATGAAAAAATAAATTTCTTATCAGAAGCGTGATCCTGAAATAATAACGTCCGGGAATTGAACTGCCTGATTTTCTGTTTCCTGTTCTCCAGCATTACTAGAAAACGGAACACCTTTAGTTAAAATATCATACTTTTGTTCGACAGTTAGGTTATCAAAGGAAGCATTTACAGGAACAACGTGTTGAGGTGGCAAAGGCTGACCTCCAATTACTTGATTTATAGGTTGATTCATAATAGCAATTTTAAATTTTTTATTAAATGTTTTTTTCTTAAAAAAAAAAAAAGACGAAAGCGAAATTTTGGATCCTTAAATAATTTTTAGATTTGCAATTACGTTTTATGTAGAAGTCGAAGAACATAAAGTGACATCAGATTTTTCGGGTTCTGGGGTGTCTGTATTTTGTTTTTACTAATTTACCCCAGGTTTCTGATTGGCTAGATTTGTTTACATGTCATCTTCTTTTTAAGGGTAGAGTATACGTAGATCATTTATCATATGATATGCATGGCAATTTTTTTTGTGTAACAGATTACATAGTAAACACAAATCTAATTGG